GATGTAATAAAAAAGTGGGAGAAAATATTCCCTACAGAAACAAGGCAAAAAATTCAGTAGAAAAGGCACTGACTGACCCCAACTTGCTCTCCCTGATACACAATGGAATAAGCAATGAAGAGCTTCTTCTATTTAGGATTCTCCATATATAGAGGTCAAGGTGAAAAGAACAACAGAATTTCAGAGCTGGAAGGGACTCTACAGGTGATCAGTAATATCCCCCATAGATGGTCATCCAGCCTCCCCCTGTAGAACTCTAATGATAGGGACACAACCTCTTGGGACATCCCATTTTACTTTTGGACAACTTTGTAAGGAATTTCTTTATTTTAAGTGAAACCTTCCTCCTTATGATCTCCACCTAGGATTCTAGTTCAACCACCTATGGCAAGGCATCACTATGCAAATCCTTCTTTCACTAGACAGCCCTTCATGAAGACAATGATTGGATTATCTTCCTTAAATGTTCTCTTATTTAAGCTATCAGCACTCTTGGTTCTTTCAGTAGACCTTTGGTTTTGAATCACCTCACACTAGTTATTGTATACCATTTACCTCAAGCTTATCGATGCGCTTCTCAAAATGGGATGCCCAGAAATTGGATACAATACTCTAGGTGTGGTCTGATCAGAGCAGGGTGCACCAGAATTATCAACTCCCTCATTCTGGATACTATGCCTTTCTTCCTGCACTCTAAGGGCCCATTAAGTGTTTTGGTGACTACCCTACTGACTCATAGTGAGCTTGCTAAAAGCCCCAGATCTTTTTCAAAGGAAGGTCTGACCATACCTCCTTTCATAAAAATCTTTGTAAAACCAAGTGTAGGACTTTGCATTTATGCCTGTTCAACTTTATCTTGATAGATTAAGCCTATCATTTGAGTTCGTTAAGTTTTTTTTGGATCCTTTTTAAAAGATGAGTATATAACAACAGTGATTTCCCCAGTAGCTATCTCCTTCCTGGAATCTCCAGGAAACCTGAATCAATCGGTGATGTCAAGGTCTATCTTTTGTTTAGCCATTTTTTAGTCATGTCCAACTCTTGTGACCCCATTTGGGATTTTCTTGGCAAAGATACTGGAGTGATTTGCCATTTTCTTCTCCATCTCATTTTACAGATGAGGAAACTGAGGCAAATAGGGTTAAGTGACTTTCCCAGGGTCCCATGGCTAGTAAGTGTCTGAGATCAGCTTTGAATTCAAGAAAATGAGTCTTCCTAACTCCAGACCTGGAGCTGTGTCTACTGTACCACCTAGCTGCCCTAAAGTCCATCTTAAGAGCCTAAAATATACACCATTTACCTCCCTAACCACTATCTTTCGAAGTCCTTCCCTTTTTTCAAGGTTCCACCTCCTCATTCATGAAACCTTCTTTGATTGCCCAAACCTAGGTAAAGATAGCCTTTTTCTCTTCAAATTTCTCATAGGACTTTTCTTGAAGGTGGCTAAAGCAGGCAATATGGAGCACTTAGATCTTGATCAGACATCAAAGACACCAAGGTCATCCACTGCATCCCAGGCCATTGACAGTTGTCCTAACTTTTGCCCTGCCACTAGACTTGTATGACTCTGGAAGAGTGATTGAGGTTGACAACCTTGGGCAATGTTGCCTCACTTAAATCCAGTTCACATGCAAGTCAAGACATCACCCTGTGATGTCACTGGTCCTCTTCAAAAACGTAGGACAAACAACAAACATCAGTTTATAAGCTCTTTGACAGTAAGTTCTATCTATTTTTGTATGCCCTGTATCTAGAGCCATGCCTTGCGTAAAGTTGATGTTTAATAAATATTGATGAGGAATGAGGAATGAATGAAGGGTCTTGCATTCAACTTGGGCAAGACTAGGGCTAGATATATCAAAGACGGGATCTGGAAGAAGGAGTTTAGCTAGAGAAAGAGGAGGCGACTAAGGAAGAATTAGAACTGGCTCTTTCTATATTGTAATGGAAGACCAGAGTTGTTGGCTTTCAAGACTTCTATAATTTTTACTTTTTTATATATTTTAAACCCCTCCATGTTTTTTCATCATTAGGAGCAATAAAATCCCTACTAATGATGAGAAAACACATAATAAAAACAAAAGATGGGTTGTGCTTTGATTATAGAGAGCAGGGCAAAAAAGGTAGAAACATATCTTGCCTTCCGCAAGCTAGGTGATTATCATCCCAGGCCAGAGAGGGATTAGAATCAAGATAATTCCAATAAAGAGAGCTATGAAGTTCAGCGCTGGTGGAAGAAAAGGTGGAACGCGGAATGTATCAGGTCTGCAATGCCACACCATGACTTGGTTGTTATTCATTTCAATTTTGCTTACCCATACTACTATCTTTAGGAGTCCAGAGACTTTAGCAGTCCTAAGTCCTATCACCATTAATTAGCCTTTTACTTCAGTTTCCCCATCTACAAAATGAGGGTAACCAACAATGCCTGCCTTATCTACCTCATGGAGTTGTTGTAGAAACTCAACTATAATATGCCAAGGTTTCGTGACCTCTGACCCAAGAATTCCTGGAGAGAACAGCAAAAAGCTCAGAAGGTGTAGATAAGGAAGTACTTTTCATTTATCTTGTAAGTCATCATTTCCCCAAACATCTTTAGTGTTTTCTGTGTCCAAGATCTCAGTTAATTCACAGTTTAGCCTGAGGCGCAGGGTTCCAGAGGAACCCACATCACCCATATGAACATCTGGGACAGATGTCACAGGCATATTCACCTCCCAGAATTGCATTGTTCTACAACGAAGGGGTCTTACTGAGCTCTTTGGCTTTCTGTTTTATATGCACAGTTCTAGTTTAGGTAACATAGCTCTATTTCAATTCAAAGACCTTGGCTGTCCCTGATTTTATCTACTGCACAAGGGCAACCTCAGAGAGGGAGAGTTAGTACCCTTTAGAGTCATTAGAAACAATTTCTGCCTTTTTTCCCCTTACAGATCAACTTTCTTGATTATGGAAACATAATAGCTATGAGAAGGCTTTATACTTTGAATAAAAACACTGTAAAATGCAGGTTGTTGACATTATTTTGAATTGTCAAGCATTGCTTTAGCCAGGAGAATAGAAGACTCGGAGGGAAGCAAGGTTGGTTGCCATCTGCAAATATTACATAAGAATTAGGCAATTTCTCTATAGCTCCAGAGGGCAGAATGGGGACTAATGCATGAAAATTATAGGAATATAGATTTTGACTCAACATAAGGGAAAACTTGCAAATAGCTAGAGTGTAGAGAGAAGGGGATGGAATACTCCCTGAAGTAACCAGTTCTCTATCGGTAGAAACCTTTAAGCCATATGTTAGGGATGCCGCATAAAAGTTTCACTCTTATAGTAAGGGTTGGACTATATCAGGGGCAGGGAACCTGTGGCCTTGAGGTAGTGTGGCCTCGAGGCTGCAGGTTCCCCACCCCTAGACTAGAAGATGATTCAGGTATTTTCTATTTCCAGGATTCCAGGATTCTTCAAAATATACCTCAAGCTACCTGAGGCTTTTGAGCTTGCTTTGGCTTGTTTGCTCAAATAGACTCCTCAGTTTCTAACACCGACAAGACCTACGTCAACTGTTCATTGATTATAAACTCAGAAAACCTTGACCAACGTAGTGCCTCTTTGGCAGTTTCTTTAGGCAAATCATTGCATTTAGGATAGTTCCGTTCATTTGGAAGTTCTTTTTTTAAGCTCACATTTATATAGTGTTTATGATGTGCCAAGCATTGTACTAAGAACTTTACAATTAGGATCATTTGATCCTCACAACAACCCTGGGAAGTAGGTGCTATTATTATCCACATTTTATAGATGAGGAAACTGAGGCAAAGAGAGGTGAAGTGACTTGTGCAAGGACACACAGCTGGTGTCTGAGGCTGAATTAAAATATGGGTCAGAATAAGTCCAATCCCTGTCCAAAGGAAAGGTATTGGACTAGATGACCTCTAAATCCTCTCGTAGCTCTAATTTATGATCCTATGATAGCCTTAATTATAATAAATGATTGGTACCCCTCATGGCGCCTGAATTGTTATCACAGGAGGTTTTAGTTCACACTTTCATAACGGCTAATGTGCTTGAAAGCATCTTCTTCTAAGGTGTCCAAAGAACAAAAAGTAAAAATAAAACACAGAATGGGGAAACAGACAGACAGACAGACAGATACAGAAAAGATGGGGTGAAAGGAGGGGATTAAGAGAGGGAGAAACATAGAGGGAGGAAGAAGGAGAGAGAGGGGGAGGCAGAGAAAAAGGGAGGGAGAGAAAGAAGGAAAAAGAGAGAGGAGGGAGGGAAGGAAAGAGAAAGAGTGGAAGAGAGAAAGACATACAGAGAGAGTCAGACAGACAGACTGCATCGAGTGTGAGGAAGGGATTAAGAGGGAGAGAAGATGGAGGGAGGAAGAAGAGAGAGAGGAGGAAGAGGAAGAGGGAGGGAGAGAAAGAGGATAGAAAGAGGAGGGAGGGAAGGAAGGAGAAAGAGTGGGGGGGAGAGAGAGAGAGAGGGAGAAGGAGAAGGGGAGGAGGAGGGAGAGGGAGAGAGAGACTGGTGGTGCCAGCTGCAACCATACTACAGTGAACAGAAAATCCCAGTGCTGATGGTTATAAATAATGCTTAATGAGGTTTAAAGTGCTGTAAATTAACACCCAAGAGGGGCTAAAAGCTTCCTTCTTCACAGGACTTCCAACTGAACACCCTAGATCTGAACAAGCTTGATCATGTCCCTATCTTTGGAATTTCTCTCCACTCCCTAAGAACTAGAATGAGGAAGATAGATCTTCCCTCTAACTCCTGTCTGAGCTAAGCAGCTCTGTGGGGAGAGGTACCACAGTGATTTGGTGAACTCCACTGAAAGAGAAAAAGAGATAAATGATTACGTATAATTCCTTTGATAGCTAGATAAATATTGACTAAGAGTATCTATTAAGAAAAGGTGTTCAGCTCTGTCTGGGAGATTTATCCCTCCCACCGTTTCAGTCACTTTACCTGAGTGAATCGGGCTCTGTTGTTTCTCTCAGTAGGAGCTGCCAACCTAATGACGCAGCACAGCACTTTTCAGCAGGAGGCCCTGCCTCATGTGGCAGACCTGACCTGAGACAATTCAGGTCTCATTTAAGGTAAAACCAATATTTTCTAGCTTGTTTTAAAGTTAAACTGATTTGTAAAAGAAAAACAATAATAATAATAATTTGACAGTACCATTACAAGCATCAAGCCCAAGTTTAATACATCAGATAAAATATACTTTCTGCTTCTCTTTCAGGCATTTCAATGATGAGAACAGAAGCTTCCTAGTCCTGATTGTCCTGACATAGTGACCCAAATGGTAGCATGCTCTTTGTTTTTCAACTGTGCTGGTTTGTGTTTCAGACATTAAAGATGCTTTTGTGACCAGAGGCTCAATGCTTTAAATGAAAATGAAAAAGAAATACATGAAGTTTGGAAAATGAATGCCACAAGGACATTAGAGCCAGGCTAACATCCCCAGGTCCGCCAATGGGGATTGATGTCATATGACATCAGGAACCACCAAACCAAGGTCATGTGCCAAAATCCTTTTCAGGGAGATAATCACAAAACTGATCAAATGTGTCTTTCACAGGAGGAACAGTGTTGGGCAATGGGAAGAGCACTGGTTTTGGAATCAGAGGACCTGGGATGGTTCCTGACTCCTTCATTGAATATCTATGTGACCTTAGGAAAATTACTTAACCTTTCTGGTCCTCATGTTCCTCATTTGTAAAATGAGGCTTTGAACTAGATGGTCTCTAATTTCCCTTGGAGCTCTAAATGTACAATCTTATGATCTTCTTAATTATAAGAAATGATTGATACCCCCTGTAATGCCAGCTAGGTGGGCAGCTAGGTGTTTCAGTGGAGAGAATGCCATGCCATGTCATGAAGACTCCTCTTCCTGAGTCCAAATTTGGCCTCAGACACTTACTAGCAGTGTAACCCTGGGCAAGTCACTTAATTCTGCTTGCCTCAGTTTTCTCATCTGTAAAAAAAAAAAAAAAAGAGCTTTGAGAAGGAAGTGACAAAACACTCCTGTATCTTTCCCAAGAAAACACCAAAGAGGGTCATGAAAAGTTGGACATGACTGAAAAACAAATGAATAAAATAATGTCTAAATTATTATCATAAGGAAAAGATTGAATTAAGTACTTTTAAAATACAACCAAGATAGTAGAGAATCATAGACCCAGGACTAGAAAGGAACACAAAAGTCATCCCTGGTCTATTTGTACTTGAGCAGGGATCCTCTACCCAACATATACAGGCACTTATCTAGTTTCTACATGAACACCTCCACTGACTAGGAATTCACCAATTCCCAAGGAAATCCATTGCATTTTAAACACTTCTAATCATTTAGAAATTCTTCTTAATAGTGCATTAAAATATGCCTACATATATCCAAAATGTTATGCAGTATGTTCAGTTTTACAAAATGCTATAGATACATGATATCCTTTGAGTCTTACAACTCTGGGAGCAGGGGTTCTCAGAGTGCTGATTGTTAAAGTATAACTATTTTTACACCTCAGAAATTGACCAATGCCACAAATCAGGGCATGAAAATATTGATAACATCAATTAAACTTAAAAGTGTGTCTATCTCTCCTCCGTCCCCATGCCCTGGTCAATTGTTAAACGTTTATCAACACACTGCTGCCTGGGAGGATCATAACTCTACTCCCAGTGTATTTAACCACTTTATAGATAAGAACATTGAGACTTAGGAGGTAAAGAGACTTGACATTGTCACATAATGTCAGAGGAGGGACTCAAACCCAGGTCTTTCCTTACTCTGTTCACTAGAGCACACTATGCAATATTAGATGGTCCAATATTAGATCTTTAGAACTACCGTCTTGATCTGTGGTCCCTGGAAGGATATGGAGGAGTTTTAAATTGAACCTCACATGGCACTTTGTTTTATTTCCCTAATGGGTATGTCCTATAATATTGTGTATTATAGTTATCTGTGCTTATGTATTCTTCACTTTTAGATTTTAAGCTGTATGAGGTCAAGTATCCTGGCTCATTTATATACATACATACATACATACATACATACATACATATATATATATATATATATATACAAATTTTTTTTTTTTTGGTGAGGCAATTGGGGTTAAGTGACTTGCCCAGGGTCACACAACTAGTGAGTATCATGTGTCTGAGGCCAGATTTGAACTCAGGTCCTCCTGACTCTAGGGCCAGTGCTCTATCCACTGCTCTACCTAGCTACCCCTATCCTGGCTCATTTAAACAGTATTTCAAGTGCCCGGAAGAATGCTCTTCATACATTAGGAACTTATTAAGTGTTCAATAATTGAGCTAAATTAAATTATTTCAGTTTTAAAATTGGAGAAGGTTGAAGAAGACACACAGACGGGCACAAAAGGAAGGTATTATATGTTGAGGCACACCCGTTGTGCCTATCAGTCTGAACTATACTTGACTTTTACAGAATTTAAAAAAAAAATGACTGCACACACACACACACACACACACACACAGGTCAAGCTAGTGCCCAATTCAACTGTTCTGCTTGTCCACCTGCAGGAATATGAGACAGTAGCCTCAAGCTAACATCATATTGGGTGAAGGACAATAGAAAAGGATTCTGTCTGTCCCCTTGGAACAGAGTGGAGCATCAGGAAACACCCACCTGCTTTCCATAAATCATTGGATGTCCTGGTAAGTGAGTATCAGCAAGGCTGGGTTATATGATACAGTAATTATGTGTACTGTATACTCATTAATGTGGGGGCTTTGGGATCAGCAGATGGACTCTACACCACTGTGTCCATTTACAACTCTTCCTAAATGACTCATAATAAATCACAGTATTTATTATTCACATAGGCTGGTTGATAGAACACTGAATGGGGAATCAGGGGGACCCGACTCTAAAGGGGAAGGTGGTGGGAAGGGGGTGATGATTTGATGAGATAATGTCTAGAAAGGACTTTGATTCTCTCTTCTCCCTCCCACTAAAGATGCCCCACCAAGTACCTCAGAGGGATTATGTGAGAATTTGGGATGATGCCTCTAAATATTGATTTCAGAGTGCCATGTTATGAGATAAAGTAGAACTAGTAGACAAAAAGAAAAAAAATCCTTAGAATTTTAGAGCTTAAAGGGAATAACACCTTGTCCAGCTCTCATTTTACAAAGGAGGAAAGAGAAGGGCATAGTGGTTGGACAATCTGCCCAAGGTCACAAAGGTACATAATGAGAGTTGGGCCTAGAACCCAGGTCCCTTGACTTGCAAACCAATGTGCTCTCTCTCTCTCTCTCCCCTCCCTCCTTCATTTATTCTTCTCTGATCTCTCTCTTTCCTATTATCTTACTTGGACCCTCTTTATGTCTTTTTTTGTTATACTGTCTCTCCCCTCCCTCCGTCCTTTCCTTCCTTCCTTTCAAAAGTATTATTAAGACCTCTTGTTTTTACATCACAGTCATTTCTGGATGTCTACTGATCACCCCTACTCCCATTGCCACACAAACCCCACTTTGCTCACACAATCTTCTCTATTAAAAAAAAGAAAACAGCTAAGCAAAATCAACACTTTTGACGTCATCTGCAAGTATATGCTATAGTCCATGCTCATAGTCCTTCACCTCTCTAACAAAAGACAGGAGGTGCATTTCCTCATATCTTCTCTGAGGCCACAATGCCCTTCTCATTGCAGCACCTCTTTCCCCTAAAATATTCTACCTTATCAGTAATGTTATAAGTGGAGTCCTTTAAGGGGGCACAAAAAATAATGACTTGTCATTGAGTTTCCCAAGGAAGGGCACATCAGCTATTGCTGGTATCATAAGTGTACCTCAGTGAGATCAGAAACACAGCAAAGGATTTGGCTATGCTTGGGACCTCAGAGCTAGAAAAAAATCTGAGAGATTATTTAGCTCATTTCCTTTATATTGCAGATATAAAATCTAGTTACTCTTAGGCTCACTTCTATGGCACAAATTTATAAATACTACCTTCATAGTAATTCTGCAACCTCTTGCCAGAGGCAATGTGACACAGAGAAGGAAAATGAAACCAAGAGAAGCTAAGGCTTGCTCACGCTCACGTAACATTTATGAAGCACTTACTGTATATCGGGAACTGTGTTAACCTCTGGGCATACAAAGAAAGGCAAAGCCACAGTGCCTGCTCTCAAGGAGCTCACAGTCTAATACTGGAGACAGTAACAAGCTGTACAGCTGAGGTTGGAATAAAATCCATCCTCCATGCAGCTGCTAGTGATTTTCCTAAGGCCTGAGTCTAACTATGCCACTCCCCTACTCAGTAAATGGCAGGTGCTACCTATTATCTCTAAGAGCAAATATAAAGTCCTCTGTTCTATAAAGCATTCACTATCTGATCTTCAACCTACCTTTTCAGCCTTATTAGACATCATGGTCACTAGGATGCAGTTAAATGGACCTTCTTATTACTCTTTATATGCGCCATTCCCTCTACCTTCTCTGTGCCTTCTTAGCACATGCTCAGCAACGACTCACTCCTCACCTCTAGCCCATTCATCTCCCTAGTTTCCTCAAGCACCAGTCACATGAAGTCTTCCTGATCCTATGAGCATAACAAAAAACTGATTCAAACAAAACATTCTCTCCCAAACCTGGAATCCCCTTTCTCACAAATATAGAGGCCCTAGGAGGAAAAAATGGGCATAAAGTTAATATACAATGGTATTGAGGCACACATGAAGGGAACATCTGTGGCCAATGCAACTCACAGCTTTTGAATTGCCCGGCCTCTCTTTTTTTTCCTCCTGGATGGCAGGGCCTATCCTTGCAGAAGATTCACAAAGTGCACTGCAGAGCAGCTATACTCTGCACCTCCTCCAGCATCAAGCTCAGCCTGAACACTCAGCCAGTCGTGCCTTTTGGAAGGAACAAAGCCCTTTAGCCTAAGATTGGCAGAAGCCTCTGTGGTTCTGTTCCCTCAGGGCCTCATCTTTGGGATTTGTCACTGCCCTGGCCAGAGGTGAGAGAACAGAGGTATACTCAAGGCAGCAGCACTTATCAAGTTCCTACTATGTGCCAGGGACTGTGCTAAGTGCTGGAGATACAAAGCAAGACAAAAGACAGTCCATGACCTCAAGGATTTCCACAATCTAATTGGGGGGGTGGAACACAATATTCAAATAACAATGTTATCGAAAGAATATACAGGATAAATTGGAGATAATCAGCGGAAGGAAGACGGTAGCGTTGAGGGGGGATGGAGAATGTTTGAGGAAGAGCAAGGAGGCCAACGTCACTGAATCAGAGAATATGTCGGGGGAGAATAAGGTAGAAGACTGGAAAGGTAGGAGAGGAACAAGTTATTAAGTGCTCTGGATGCCAAACAGAGGATTTTATAGTTGATCTTGGAGGTGATAGGCAGCCACTGGAGTAATAAACTAATAACTATGGGAATGACATGCTCTGACTTGAGCTTTAGGAAGATCAATTTACAGCTTAGAGAAGGCTGGACCCGAGTGGCCTGAGGCGGGGGCCTGCACCTGGGTGGTGGTCATTGCCAGAGGAGACATCTCATGTATGAGATATTAGGAAGGTAAAATCAGCAGGATATGGGGAGGGGTGGGAATCAAGGATGACCTCTAGGTTGTGAACCTGAGGGGGTGGGAGGATGGTAATGGACTGTGACTACTCTTCCTGGTCCTAGGCTGGGCCCCTTCAGTGAAAGACTCCCCACTTCCTAGTGAAGACCGGGCGTTTCCCAAATCTACATTTCTGCAAGGTCAAAATCAAGCAATAATCTCCTAAAACTGAGATTCTGGATTCCTAAGGTGGGTTTTTTCTTTGTTTTTATTGTATTTTATTATTATTTTTTAAAAATTCTAATGTGCTCCTGTGGGTCTATGCAAATGAATGTCTAAGAAAAAGATACTCTTTGCCCAGGGGCACAAGTTCATTGTTTCTTCTTTTATTTCCTTTTCAGGTGAGCTTCTCCAAGTTGCTGATGATATCCTTTAGGGAATGGAATGATTCAATCACCAATCTGAAGTCTTTCTTACATTTCCTTGCCCATTATGACCCACAAATTTGCTAAAGTCTAAAAGGAGGCACACTTTTACATGCATATTCCTACATATATACACAAATTGTAAATGTTTGTGAAGTACTTAGCACAGTTTCTGGTGCCCAGTAGGTGCTTAATAAATGCTTGTTTCTTTCCTCCTCCTCCCCAGATTTCAGGCTTCCCTAGGACAAGGACTGTGTTTCACTTTTGTGTCTGTATCCTTAGAGCCTAGCACCACGCTCGACCCATACTGCTGTTGTTAAGTTGTGTCTGACTCTATGACCCTGTTGACCACAGCATGCCATTCCAAGATCATAGCCATCCGTTAGCATTTTCATACTGTCCGTGGGGTTTTCTTGGCAAAGTTATTGGAGCTATTTGCTATTTCCTTCTCTAGTGGATGATCTTTTCTCAGAACTCTCTACTATGACCTGTCTGTTTTGCGCAACCCTGCCCTTGAAGAGCTCATAGTTTCATTGAGCTCCTAACCTTCTGCCAGGACTAAGCAGTGATCCAGGAGGGGCACAGTAGGTACTTAATAAATGCTAACTGATCAATTCCCTTCTGAGCCCAAATCCAGTGCATCTTCAGCTACACCACACTCACTCTTTATATTTCCACATAGGAAAGAATAACAGGGTGCTCTGGTGCTGTATTGCTTTTATCCTTTGGAAATCTGGCAGATCTGAAATGAAATAGAATTCCATTAGCATTATAATTTTTCCTGGCATGCTGGGAGTGGGGGGTGGGGAGGAGGTGGAGAGGCATGAAGTTGAACATGAGTTATGAGATCTGTTTCTAAACAAAGACACTCACAGCATAGTTACATCAGTACTGCTGTTCATCAGCTGGAATTCTTCTCAGGTAGAAGGAATTGAGCAGAACCTTTACCCAAACTGTCTAAAATGGATGGTATAAAAAGGGTTTTTTTTCCTCTTCCCAAGTAACAAATCTCTCATAATGACTGAGAGAATGAGGTATAATAATTTAATAATAACTTTTAGTGCCACTCCAGAGACATTTCTGTTGCCTTTATTTTACTTTTAAATTGGGCAAGGCATTTTAAGTTTCCAAATTTCCCATTCTGCAACAAAGCAGAGAGGAGGAGGGGGGCAGAGAATGAGATTCCATCTTCATTTTCGGGCAAAGACTCTTCCACCATCTGTGCAGCTCCTGAGCTAGTTAAGAATAAGGATATGCACTGGCATGGTGGCTTTTCACAAAGTATACCGTATCACATTTGAGAGGGTACTCACTTTTCCCTAGTCAGGACTGGAAGCAATCTGGTAAGCTGGACCCAGTTCTTCAGATTTTCTCTCCTGTCCCTGAGGAAGAGACACTGATAACCCTTTCATTACCCCTCCCCCCCCACTCTCTCCAGGCACCCTGCTTTCTCAAGCATATCAAGACAAGACCATCTCTTCTGATAAACACCAAAGACAGATCCTGGCAGGAAGAGAGACACACCAAAGGAGACAAAAGGATCATAAATTTAGAGTTGGAAGGAACCTTAGAAAGTCCAACCCCCTCATTTTATAGATAAGGACACTGAGGCTCAGAGAGGTAACAAGCAGAAGAGTCAGAGGTAATTTCCTAGGGCTCCCAGGCTCGCATGTTTCTTACACTTAGGCATACACAGAATCTTCATTTTCCAGCAGCCTTCCCAGAAAAAGGGAATGGGCAATGGAGCAGTGAAGGCTAGGGGAGATAATCAGATCATTGGTATCACACAAGCCAATCTTCGCTAATATATCCCTGGGCTAAGTGCTTCCTGTAGGAATAATAATATATTAATAATAACAATAATTGAGGAGGACATGGTCTTAGATGTGGACTGCAGGCACATTCAGTGAGGAGGAGGTCTTCTGAGTTCAAATCCAATGTTCTTTCCACTACACCCTATTGCCTTTCCTGCATTATTAAACTATAAACATCTTGAGGGCAGGGATTTTTTCCCCCATTTCTTGGCAAGGACAATGTCTTATACACTATTCTATCAGAACAATTATTTTTTGAGTTGAATTGAAGTATAGTATTTACATATTGAACTATAAGGAGCATAGCATTAGTAACTAGTCTGTTAATTCCCCAACAGGAAGACAAAAATGATGGATGAAGATGTGGAATAGGCAACTAAAATAGTAGAATCAAGAAAGAAAATTCCAGTTTTGTCATTCTAATTCTGAACAAAAAATAAAGTAAAACACCAATATGGATATGTTCAATAAGCAAAAGATTTAATGACATCAGAAGTGATAAATTTGCTAAGAGCTTGGTTACTCTATGACCAAAGGCTAGGTCCCAGGTGGTAAGGAGGAGGCATTTTCAAAACACACAAAGGCACAAGAGTGACTGTGTAAACTTGACATTTCTTGACAATTTACAAAAGGCCCAATTTCTTTACAAGTAATATTTTTTAAATAAAAAGTTCAGTTGATTGATTTGTGTGTGTGTGTGTGTGTGTGTGTGTGTGTGTGTGTGTGTGTGTGGTTTAGGGTGATAATTACTTATTGGACTTGTTTCAAGGAATTGAAGAGTAACTCACAATCTGCTCCAGAGCACAAATTCGAATTAATGGGAATGATGGTGGAAGCTGACCAGAAAAAAGTCTTATCCAAGTTATTTCCATGATATTCATATTAACGACTCTTATCAGCCTATCAGGTAAGTGCATGCTGGGAGTTTTCTCTTGGTCATAGAACTTTTTGTTCAGTCTTGTCTGACTCTTCACAACCCCATTTGGGGTTTTCTTGGCCGATACTGGAGTGGTTTGCCTTTTCCTTCTCTAGCTCATTTTATAGATGAGGAAACTGAGGCAAACAAAGTTAAGTGACCTGCCCAGGGTCACAAAAGTTGTAAGTGTCTGAGGTCAGATTTGAACTCAGGAACAAGAATCTTCTTGACTCCAGGCCTAGCACTCTATCCACTGTATCACCTAGCTGCTGTCTGCTGTAGAACTCGAAAGTCACACTCTCAGAGATGGAAGGGATCCTAGAGGTCAACGATCCCCAACCTGGACAACCGATGGCATTTTTTTCCAATTCCCCAAAATTTTCCTATCAAACAGCCTAACCATGTAAAAGTTTTAAATAAAAAAAAAGAATCTTGATATACAAGGTAAATTACATCCTAACACAATATGGTAAATGTGAAACAGAATCTAACTCTTAGTCAATTTCTTGGATGAAAGGTTATGGCTGCCACATACCTTGATGGGAGATTTTGTTTATTGTGACTATACACTTGTGATGGTCTTCCCTTACGTTTTCAATGTATCATCGACTAGCAGACAGTAGGAGATATTTATTTCTTACTGGTATCATGGAGTTATTTTAATTATGGTAGTCTAATATTTATGGATTTACTTGACATATTCCTTTGAATAATGTAAATATTAACTGAAGAAGGATAATTATAAAAAATGAGTTTTAAACCTCACAGAAAGGATTTTCTTTGCAAAAATAATAGTGAACCAAGATTCAGAGTCACTTGCTCCTGACAATAATAATAAATTGGAATTAAATTATTTGCCTAAAAGGAGGAACACTGATTATTTAAAAACTGAGTTCATTGTTTGGTCTGGATCAAGGTACACACTACTAAAACCATAGTGTGTCATTTCCAAAAATGATTTGTTGAATGAAAGCACAAAGGAAGGAAAGTTTTCTTGACCCTGAAAAATAATAATCAGAATTTAAAAATAAACTGATCAACTTTTCCCGACAAGAATCACTGGAAGTAAAAAGTAAAGAAGTCCTTTTAAAAAATGTTTATAAATTGAGGAAAAAAAACACATATGCAAGTTTTCTTATTAATTACTTTTTAAAGGTATTGTCAGCAAGAAGCCCCTTTGACAATAAATAAAACCAAAGCAAAGGAAACATTGGGAGTCAGGCCCCTCTCTACATCTTTTAGTTATATCTTCAATCCCCAGGACAGAAAAATATAGTAGTAAGTGAGAAAGAAATACAGTCACACTGATTATCTTTAATTTTCTATGGTGTATTATTGCTATAATACTTCTGTGTTGACATTCCCCAATTGATAAATGGTCAAAGGATATGAACAGGCAGTTTTCATATAAAGAAATTAAAGCTATCTATAGTCATATGAAAAAATGTTCTAAATCACTATTGATTAGAAAAATGCAAATCAAAACAACTTTGAGGTACCACATCACACCTGTCAGGTTGGTTAACATGACAAAACAGGAAAATGATAAATATTGGAGAAGATGTGGAACATTAATACATTGTTGGTGGAGTTGTGAAATGATCCAACCATTTTGGAGAGCAATTTGGAACTACGCCATAGGGCTATAAAAATGTGTAAACCCTATGACCCAGCAATAGCACTTCTAGGGCTGTATCCCAAAGAGATCATAAAAATGCGAAAAGGACCCACATGTACAAAAATATTTATAGCAGCTCTATATGTGGTGGCAAAGAATTGGAAATTGAGGGGATGCCTATCAATTGGGGAATGGCTAAACAAGTTGTGGCATATGAATGTAATGGAATACTAGTATGCTATAAGAAATGATGAGCAAGTGTACTTCAGAAAAACCTGGAAAGACTTGTATGGGCTGATGCTAAGTGAAGTGAACAGAAGAATACTGAAGAATACAGGAGAATACTGTGCACAGTAACAGCCACATTGTGTGATGTCTAACTTTGATAGATTTGACTCTTCTCAGCAAAGCAAGGATCTGAGACATCTCCAAAGGTCTCATGATGGAAAATGCTATCCACATCCAGAGAAAGAACTATGGAGTTTGAATGCAGATTGAAGCATACTATTTGCTTTTTTTCCCTTCTGTTTTGTTTCGTTTCTTCTTTCTTGTGGTTCCTCCTATTGGTTCTAATTCTTCTTTGCAACATGATTAATGTGAAAATATGTTTAATAGGAATGTATATGTAGAACCCATATCAGATTGCACACTGTCTTAGGGAGGGAGGCTGAGAGAGAAGGGGAGAAAATTTAAAACTCAAAAGCTAATGGAGGTAAATGTTGAAAACAAAAAATAAATTAACAAAAAATACTTCTATGTTGATATTTGAATACTATTTCATAATGTATACATAAGTTTTATTTCATTAATGTGTATTTTTCTCCAATTATACAAATTACAAGTCGTCCAGGGCTGCCCATTCTATGGAACACTCGTTCATTCATACACTCCCCTAGGTTTGTCATAGAGACTCTACTCAACAGGATGAGGGCCTTTCTTGATTTTTGCTGACAATGAAAGGATGGCAGTGGAGCACATGGTCTGGCCACTTTCTCCACACGGCTACTCCATCCTTTTTCATCATATATTTCTTTGACGATATCCTTTACTCCACTTCTTCTTTGTAGTTCCTTGTTAGGAGCTATCTAGCCTATTTACACCTGTCATGTACCTCTCTGTGTGATATTCATTTTAGTTCTTTGGAGAGCCTACTGTTCTGTTACTTACAGCCATGCAACAATACCAGTAGGAAAAAGAAATGAAAATTTTAAAGAAAATATTACTGTCTATTAAATATTTTAATGAATAAATGTCTATGTACAACCTCCACTAAAGTCCGCCTTTGAAGCCTCATTATAATAGGGTAGAGGTGCCTTTGAGTTCTCAAAGATAAATTGCAGTGGAATGTGAGCTTTGATTGACTCCAGTTGGCTTCAAAGTCTTAGAATGCTGAGTGTACGTTATACTCTGTGTCTGAGATACAAAAACCAGTCGTACTTAGAAAATATGGAGACTCATCAACAGAAGACTGACCACTAGGTGATAAAATCTTGAAGGGTCACACAGCTGTAATCTGTGTGGTTGGAGTGTGTGGCTGTACAAAATGATATCACACATCTTTAAATTGTTAGAGTATGTTGCAATTACATGTATACCTCATATAAATCATTCATATTTTATCTATATATTACATGTTTAGGTACATATTTATACACATATCTGTATATGAGAAGCGATATGACCTCTGAATCAGGAAAGATAGGTTCAGGTCCTGCTTTTGTACCTACTGGCCATGTGCCTCATGATAAGTCATTTTAACCCTTTAGTACCTTGGTTAATTCCCTATATCCTAAATTAGAGAATAGCTGCTGATAAGCATTCATAAAAGGAGTTTCTTCACAAAAGAGCTCCTTATACTGATAAGAGAATAGGTCTGGATAAAAAAAAAAAGCTTTTTTTTCATTATCTATGCACATACACACACATGCCCAAGAACATTTAAGGATTAAACTAGAAAAATAACAAACACAAACCTATACACACAAATAGTAAAGTTCTGTCAAGATTTCATTAACAAAGTAATTTCTTTTTAAAAAAATATATATTTTTCACTTTCAACATTTACTTCCATATGATTTTGAGTTTTAAATTTTCTCCCCCTCACTCTCCTCCCCACTCCCCAAGACAGCATGTAATCTGACATAGGCTTTAAACAAAGTAATTTCTTCATCCATTACAGTAGAGCCACTACATTTGGACTTCTTTGCTAAATGTCCTCTATGACAGCAGTAGCCATCTTTGTTCCCTAGAGAGTGATATCCCATTTAGAGTACCAATAATTTAGTTACTATTTGTACATGGTCTAAAAATTACATGATTCTTAGCGCTCCTATAAAATGTGAAATACCACTAGCTTGAGGGGGAAGGGAATGGAAATCACATTCCTAATTACTACAGAAAAATATTTTTAAGAGAATATCCATAACTACCAACATGTACACCTACTTTCCCGTGTCTATAAAACCTTTATGAGAATAAGCTAAACATATATTTAGGGCATTTTTGAAAAGGGTATGAGCAATACTTTCACAAATGGTATTCTCTAGCATATCACTTCTTTACAGTCACCCAGTTGAGAATGCAGGATTCCATCATGCTTAATGTCTGTGGGCTATAAAAGAAAATGAAAAGAAAAAAAGGCATTTGATTCAGTAGAGCAAAACAGCACCTTAAAGGCTCACCTCTTTGAGGAGAATTTAGAAGACTCCTTGAAAGTGCAACAAATAAGATGGCTTTGCTCAACAACACTGATTATTAATGACAAGGAAGGCAGAAAACAGGGAGGTATATGCTTTCCAAAGACTTTGAGTGTGATCCTGGTAACAGACCAAGTCAGCTTTCTTAGCACCAGACTGGTTAAACGCTTGTCACAGGTAGGCTGGCCAGTGGGTGGTTAATTTTTTTGACTCTGGTAATCCATGAAATAAGATTACAAAATGGCCTTCAGGAAAAGGAGTAGTAGGTTATTAAGTATCACACTATTTTAGATTGGCTATAAAATTTTAACTTGGCTACGGGTACTCTAAATGTGAGGTCTTTGTCCGAAGACCAACCAGTGGACATACTGCTGGAGGAACTGAATGGTATTGATTTTGACATTCTGGCTAGAACCAAGATCAGAAGATATAAGTGGAAGGACAGTTCACAGCTTCCGCTTGAACTGAAAAAGGAATTGGCAGAATTGGTTTTTACCATGTGTCTGAAGGGAACAAGAAGCATCACTTCATGCACGCTCTGGTATTGTATCGCCTGGTTCACAATAAGTAATTTTAAAAAGACTATGATGAAAGATCATGATGAAATTGCAATTTCACCACCAACATCCACTGCAGATGATGATGAGGTAGAGAATTTTTCACA